TGCACCCACCTCTCCATGCTGGTTCCTTGCTCACCGATTTTCTACCCTGAAAATGGAGGCGATATGTTTCTCCGAAACGTCGGTTCACACAAGATCTACATGGCGCCACATCCCAGAAGACGGCATTCTTTATTTTCCAATTACTACATCCTTTCACCCTAGCTTTACATTAAAAAATGCAGAAATTTACCAAACACACATTCAAAAGTAAGGTAAAGAAAGAAAAACAATAAACTGGGAGACAGAAACACTCCCACAGTACAGCAGGGGTTATCTAAGTCGAAAAATATTTCTTCCCACTGTCTCTCTGTGGGCCCTTCCTCTTGTATGCACTTTATCTTTCATTCCCATAGGATAATTTTACCTAAATGTATAACATTCAACACACTGTCCACAATATTGAAAAATACTGCCTCTTGTCACAGACCTTGTGATACAAAATCTCCAGCAAAAATTAATATACTGAATCTTGTTGACAGAAATGTACATCTATTTCAGGCTCCACAGAAGCCATCAACATCCCAGCCACAATCTACTACAGCTGCTACCACAACCGCATTACCACCTGCCAACCCAACTGAAGTATGTATCAAACCAAACAGCCATCAAACTTAGTATCATGCCAAGCATTTCTTCAAGAATGCCAACAGTTGAAGAAAGAAAATTATATAATACTGAAACAGTAATTCTACAATACTGTATAATTATATACAAGACAACAGACACTGTTAAGACTACTGGACAGGTGAATAAGATCAGATACCTTCTGACCAAACACTATATCATGAACGCATATCTAAGAGGCATGGAAAGAACGTTCCATGAAATCTTAACATCAGATGAAAGTGAATGTTCAGACAACAGGAACTGTCGGGCCTGTAGCATTTTGCACATGGTCTCGAAGAAAAAAAATCTGAACACTTGAATCCTGAATCCCAATCATACATGCTGAATTTTAGGTTCTTACAAACATGACAATGAAGAATACAGTCTTCTGGGTTGTAGTGCTGTTCAGTTCAGACAAAGCCTGACATTATGGAGAAATACATCACCTCTTTGCCGCCTGCTTCTGTTGGTTCCTTTCTTCGATTACTCTTCAACCCTGCAAATGGATGTCATGTCTTACTCCAGAGTACTGGACCTTCTCCAGACTACAGGCATTACATTGTAGACAACTATGCTCTTCTCATTCACACAGTCCATTGCCCACATGTTTACTGACTGATCTGTCGTGGATCATGGTCTTATACAGGAAATGCGAACAAATGTACTGTATGTCTTTGCTTTCAGGCACCTCAGATATCATACATACACCAGTACAGTGCTTAAATATGTCTTGAACATACAAGCAACCATAATAAAACAATTTCCAAAATCAGTGAAATACTCGTACTTAGTGACAAACTACAGTTTTCAGAATATACATACATAAACAATAAGGAGGCCACAAGATACTTAGTTCATATGACAATCAGATATATATCTGTAAGCGCACCAAGATCAGTGACACTATCCCGGCTCCCAGCATAAAACTGGCAGAACAGAAAAACAACAGAAAGCCTCTTATGATATTGTGACATGTTGCACAATGGAAGACAACCCCTCCCCCCCAGCAGTGACGTGGCGGGTGAGTCAGCGCTCCATCACACCCCCCTCCGCACGGTGACGTAACATGCAACGCAGCTGTGACACGGGTAAGAGGCAACAGCGGTACCCATTGCATAACAGGCAAGCGCTGCGACTATATAAGTGAACCACACTGCCTACGAAGTGAGCTGAAATGTGGCCGTCGCCGAGTTCAGTTGTTGTTGTCAGTTAAGTGTACCAGTCACCGAAGTGAGTTCTCAAGGCAGCAGCCTACAGTTGAGTTGGAATCTAGCCAGCGGCGAGTTACGAGTTACGGACGTGTTCGTGTTAACCGAGTAATAATTGGGACTGTGTGATACAGTTGCACTTGTATAACTCCCACGTTATAAAAACGTGTAGACTACTGACGACAGAGTGAACTGATTTGTGAATAGGGTTATAAATTGTGAAACCCTGCAACAGTGTAAACAGATTACTGCGAATAGGGTTTGTAAAGTGTGGAAACCCGTAACATTGTTATAATTAATTGTAGCCGAGAATGGTAGGTTGTTAAATAAACCAATTAACAATCCAAACGGTGTCTTCAGTAACGAAACACGTTACAATACTATAGCTGCAGTAGTATTCAAAGCAAAAGTGATTCAACTCCTAAAATTTCTACACACAAATTTCTCAAAGAAAAGTTCTACTATTAAGATCAGCTTGGCTCATGTTCAATGATTGATTGATTCTTAATTTAATTGAAAATGCTATTTAAACCACAAGATATTAGAAGACAATGAATGTTAAACTTGGAAAGGATTTTTAAGAAGGCACTCACAGCCTACTGAAAGGTGTTACGAATTGCTGTATTATAAGTTAATAGATGGTTTAAACTTCTCTCTAGTATTTTCAAAGCATGTGTTAACATGTTTAGGTTTTGATTAATACAGTTATATAATAGTTCAGTTCTTTTATGAAATGACCAAGCTCACAAGGAGATCTTTGCTTCTAAATTAACAAAGAAATGTAATGTAAAATGTTCCAAAGAGCTGACACTGATTCTGCTTATTTTACTTGCAAAGTTGCTCATTCGCTTAGTGGGGGGTGGGGTCCAACTGGGTCCACTTGGCATGGTGGCCACTGATTGACCTATTGTAGCCTGCCCCAGGTGATTATGATGATGGAGGATTTGGTGGAACGAAGAGTGGCAGGGGAAACTGAAGTAATCGGAGAAAACTAACCCCAGTGCCACTTTGTTCACCACAAATCCCACGTGACCAGACCCGGGATCGAACCCGGGCCGCCGCGGTGGGAAGCCAGCAACTAACCACTTGAGCTATGGCATGGCCAAGTTCCTCATTACTTCTCAACAAGATTATACTTGCACTGGTTTTAATGTGAACAGATGACTAGAGAGAGATATTCTATTTTTATAGCAGAGATTACATCTTATTACCTACAGCCCTCCTCTTGTCTTAAGTTAATTTAAAGGTCATGCTCTCATTTCAGCGTCCAGCTGCCTCAACAAGTGCACCTTCGGACCCATCTCAACTGTGCACCCGAGAAGGATTCATCAGAGATCCGTATGACTTGAGGGTTTTCTACCAGTGCCTTAAAGCTTCTGGCAAACTTGTTGCCCACCGTCTTGAGTGTCCTAAAGGTCTTATATTTGATACTTCATTGAATGTGTGCAATTGGATAGATGCAGTTGCAAACTAACAGTCATGAAGGGCAAACTGTTTAGAAAGAAAAATGTCTTCATATAGTGTAGTTAGTTCAGGAGAACCTGCTTTCAAAATCCAATGTACAGAGTTCTTACATAGATGCTGTAACTTACATAAACGTACTGTACTCTACTGGAACACAGTCCTCTTTTGTTATACTTATATATATTTATGGGTGTGTCTGTGAGGAAGTGTCTGTTACAAAGACTCAAAGAAAAGAGATTTTCCAGGTGTTACTGTGGTACTGTATGATAACAACAGCAAAAACAGACCAAGATATGTATACATCAGTCAAACAATCTGTACGATACATTCACAATTTCTTGGATTCAGGATTAATGTAGAACAAAGTGTGCAAATAAATTCAATTGCAGTTATTCCACACATTTCTTTCTCCACATGAGGGAGGAGTGCATTTCATTCTCATTCATAGGTCTGATCTCCACATGGCACTTAAAACTTCATACTCAATGAAGCGATAAGACTTTAAAAGAACCAAACACAGTGAAGTCCCCATTTCATGTTTCTCTGCAGAACAACAGATCTGAACACTAACATGAGGAAAACTTTACATGGGAGGAATTTAATATTAATGGAGTATGAACCTGCAAAGAACTGAATGTTGTATTAACTAGGGGTTTCATTGCGCACAGTTTCATAGTGACAATCTCATTTGCTTTGGTTACAGCACATGAATGTTTAACACCAACAATACACAAAGGCACCATTCATTATAATCCTAAGACACAGTTCACATCCTCACAGCCATTTTCCTTCAGATCAACATTTATACTGTCCTCACTTCTCCTTCTTAATGTTCAAAGAGGCCAATTAGTTTCCCCACCAAAATTTCTAAAGCAGGGCTCCAGAAACAAAACTTAATCCACTATCCACTTAACAAAACCAATTTTCCCATAGTTTCAAAGTGTGCTTCATATCAATGACATCTCTGTTAACTGGATGCATATTTCTGGAGCCCTGTTTGTAAGAATTTCATGTTTCCCCAGTGACGCTACAAGTCCAAACCATCATAAAATCTTTAATTGAACCATCCTAACAATATTACGCCTTTTGTAAAAATTACAGCCCATCTGGTTGTGTAACATCCTCCACTACCACTTCCTCTCTCTTGGGTCTAGGATTTTCCTGATCACTCAGTTTTAAAACAGCTCTAATTCATCTTCTTTCCTGAAGAGACCATGTTTCATAAAAATGCAAAACCAGTAAAACTGTTTCATATCTCTCAGACAGTTCTAACCTTATTTAACATTTAAAGTATGCTAATATACTGTGACATGTAGATCAATTTCTAGATAATGCCTGATAGATACACATACAATAGAAAAGGTACTGGAAGAAGTGTTTTCTGTGTGGTCCGTGCCATGCCTTGTGTTGGGTACCGGGCCAATGAACATGCATTCTGACACGTGACACGTGTTTTCCTGAGTCTATGTAACGAAAGGTGAAAATAATTGAGAGTTCAGTTCAGTAGTTGAGTTGGGCGTTCAGCTGATGAGTGTTAAATAGCAGACAACTGAAGCTGAAAAATCTCCATTGCTAAGATTCAATATCAGGAAATGTCTAGTGAAAACTTTGCAGAGGAATAGCCACTGTTGAGATCTGTTACCAAGCGATGACTAGTGAAAGCAGACTTAGAAGACTTAGTGTGGAGTGATTTGGAGTGTGGAAATCAACAACAGTGTAATAATTACTTGTAGGTACGACTTGGAAGTGGTCAATAGATATATTCACCAATCCAAACTCCATCTATAATCACTACGAACGTTAAATACACACAGAGAAATTAATATAAACTTAATTCATGATTCTAGACAATGCAGATTGGACCATCAGAGTCAGAGATCTCTAGAATGCAGATGTTTTAACACATACAGAACAGGCATATCTGACATTTATATTTCATGTACAAGGAATAGTTCGCATGCGGACTAAAGCCATGGAGTTTGTATAAGGAATAACTTAATGAATAATGAGATATACATATAATGCAAAAGACAAGACATAATTTTTTTAAAACAACACATTTCTACACCGCCATTGTAATTCTGCAAACCATAACCATGGACCAAAGGAATCTTCTATGCCTCTGTCGACGGCGAAGGCTGGGTACAGATGCAACATTGTTAGGCATGTGGAAGCTTCTGTGTCATCACAGAGGAAGCATAGCTTCAGCATCAGCAATTTCACAAATTATTTTTGGCATACAGCACATTTATTAATAATGTAGGTTTTCTTTGAGTCTGAACAAGTGAACCAAAGTCTGAGATCAGCTCTAGGATCCTTTCACTCTCAATATTTCTCAACTTCCCTTTCATACTATTACACTCACCTTTATAACAAGAAACAACATGAATATTATGCTAAGATCTTCCTACATGTTAGATTTGAGGTTTTCAAGGTGGTGAGTATGAAGAAAGCAGCCTTCTGGGATGTGGTGCCATGTAGATATTGTTAACCGACGTTTTGGAGGAATGTATCGCCTCCATCTTCAGGGTAGAAGAAAAAAGAAGAGAATCTGCGAGCAAGGAACCAGCGTCAGCAGGTGCTAAGATGGAAGATGGAGGTGATACATTCCTCCAAAACGTCGGTGTTATGCCCTCAGGTTTACGGCAGGTATTATGTTTTTAAAGTTAATATGTTTGGTGCTAGACTAGAACAAGTATTTTGAAATAGTTAGGAAATATGAAATGGAATGTATGAGTGTTACCTCGTCAGCATAATAATGCTGACGAGAAGGAAGTAGGTTATAAGAAGGTAGACCAGGAAGACGTTTTGATGTAGAAATGCTGAGTCGACGGGGCAGCCAGACTGGACAACGCGAACCCCCTATCGGCAGACAGCCAATGAGAGCTAGCCACCCTAATGAAATCATGTCATTGCGGGTAGGGGTACACCCTCCCAGAAGTTGACGAGTTAGCAAAAAGAGAGTATAAAAATACTAGAGGAAACTACAAAGGGGATTCGATCAATAATTTTCAGTAGAGTTGTGGCTGAAGGCTATCGTCGAGATGACACTGAGAGAGTGCTGGATGGTGACGCTCTTCTGCATCCTTGCCGCAAGTAAGTGGAACTACTACTTATAGCCATGAAAACTGAGGGTAATATTATTAAAGTGCAAACCCCAGGGAGCGGGAGTGAGGACTATATAGAACAGGCTTAAGAATACCGAAACACGGCCCGCGGCATGGCGTAAGAGAGAGAGACAGGGAGAGAGAGGTATAGGAGACCCGGAGAGGGTGAGATGAATATAACTATGTCCATACAGAAGAGATTAACAAACTACATGAAATGTAAACCCGACATCTGTCGACATTGTTTGTACGTATATACGTATATAGATGAATAGAGTAGAATAGGAATGTGGTGTAATATTAACCGTTCAGCGTGATTTGACGTGTATGTTTCGTCCTAGGTATTTAAATCGTCGGGGGGGGGTTCGACGTCTATGTTTCATCCAACTGCACACCTATGTTATAACGCCCATAATAATTAATGGTTTTGCTGTAGATTGTTAGATTTTTCGCTGGCCTGTTGTCACAAGGACTATCTATAATGAGACACGACTTTATCTGCGCTAAGTCATCGTTACATATGCCTGTCTTGCAGCAAAGTTCCTGTTGCTCTTGCGAGCGGTTTCCTTGTTCAAACTGTTATGAATGGCGTGTTTTCTTTCCTATGAAGTTATAAACAGCAGAGACGTGATATGTGCTGTGTTTATAATATCATATTGCCCTGAGCTGGCCACACTAACACACTCAATTGGAATTCTTAGAAGAGGGATGTCCAAAAATTTATTCTTGCAAG